GCAAAATTAACTTAAACCTTCTGACTAACGTGACTCGTGTTTACTTCCAGTTTGTCAGTTGCTGCTAGCTTCCTGTATCGTGTAGCTGTGCAGCTACCACAAGTTTCTCCTCGTCTGCAGACGTCACGTAACAGCTCTGCCTCTCTGTTGTGGATTATTTAAATTCATGCTTCACTTTACAAGGGACTTTAACGACTTCTGGGTGTTAAGAGCACGAAGTTAAAATGTGCCATGTTTTACTAACCAATGCTACCCTGACTGTTACCTCATTGTCCGGTCTCTCTGCCATGCCGTGTTTAGCATAAGAGCTGCAGGGTGTCGGCGAGGCTCGGCCGACGGATATCCACTCTGTGTCGTGCAAAGTGGTCTGTATTAGTACTTGTTTATCATCTGTCTTCTCTTCTGATCAGGTGCTCGTAAAGCGGTATCAGCGGCGACATGTTCTTCTTCGTCTTCTTGTTTTCACGCAGTTGACGTCCGAACTCTGCGATCTTACCGCCACCTGCTGGGCTGTAGCGGGACCTACAGGTGGCCGGGTCGAAACGACAGTGTCGATGCTGGTGTTGGTATCGGATCAATACTAGAAAGAGTGATAGGATTTATACTTTGTTTATAAATATTTACTTGTGTTAAATGAATTATTTTTTGGAAATTAAAAAAATATACATCAAACATGCACGATGAAATATGATTTTTTTTTTACTCTCAGGTCTATGCTGTTTGTAGCCTATAGCACATTTATAAGACTTCTGTCTTATAAATGTGCTATAGGCTACAAACACAAAGTCCTTTAAAGACAGGCACATTTACATTGCAGGTCTTCATAGAAGTTTGAAAATACATAAAAAGCTCACAAACTGTTCTCCACGACACGAGCTGCCTTTATAAGTTCAAAGTATCTGTTGGTATCAGCAATACTGGCCCTGGTTGTACTTGGTATCGGAGTGATACCAAATAAAATCTGCAGTATGGCACAGCACTAATGGGGCATTTTACAAACTTTATAAACGAGGACTATCTCCAGCAATAACATCCTTCTTAGATTTTCTCTGACACAGCTTTGCATTACAGAATTGATTTTCATGATTTTAATAAAGAAATTATAGCGGAACTGTTACTGCTGCCATATTTTGCCTGTGGCAGGGTCTTTATGAATAATTGGAGGTGGACAAGATGGCTTTGAAAGATGAATTTAAAAAGCAGTTGATACTTATACGCAAAAAAGTTTTTTTAGGGAGTTTTTGAAATGTGAATAGAGAAGCAGACTTAGTGCTTGTTAGGTCTGTTGTATATCATGTCTGTTGAAAACAAATGATGGATTGAAGACAATATTTTCTGCTTCTCGCACTCTTTGAGTTGTTTTTTCCACTCTAGCTGTGAACATTGAACATTATCCCAGATCCCACAGGGCAAGTGGCAGAATACACCTGTACAGGTTGCCAGTCTGTCACAGGGCTAAACCACAGAGTCACTGTGATGCACTCAGGTGAGGTCCTGTTGTGAAGACTCAGAGTTTTGATGCTACTTCAGTGACACAAACAGACATAATAAGTTGATGTAATTGTGACACCAAGAACCACTGCACACCCA